AAGGTACATGCCCTTGACCGGAATCGAACCCGGGACCCTTCAGTCCGCAGGCCGACGCTCTATCCCCTGAGCCAAACCGGTTAGGGCGCCACATTTGTTTTTGTTGTCTTTCTGCATAACTTTACACGTACTTGAACCTTTGAGTCTGGTGGCACCTCATGGTGCATCTTGGTTTCTTCCTCCTCAGGGCTTAGGCATAGGTCCCCCAGGAAAGTGATGAAGCTCAGGGAGTGTGAAGGTGACACACCTGAATGTGCCATCTTCGGCTCGTTGTCCTAAGGATGCCCTCGGTGGTGTGTTTAACCCCCTGCCGTCCAGGATCGTTGCATTGGGCTATTAGGTCTCTGGTCACCTTTGACTGGGACAGTTCCTCAACCGTAACCAACCTTGGCATTGCTGAAGAATACAGGTCAACTTTTTAAAAATTTATTTTTCTTTTATTGATGACAGAGAGGGAGAGAGAGAGACGTGAAAATCATTGGCGGCCTTCTGCACGTCCCCAGGGCATGTGCCCTGACTGGAATCCACCCGGCCAGGCGAGTACAGGCCAATTTTTAAGGACAGTTTCTCATTTTGATCTGGTGAAGTTTCTTCCTGGCGAGGTGTGGCTTTTGCATTCTGGCCAGTGACCTTACACCCTTCCCAGAGGCTGCCAGCTGGCTGTGCTGATGTGGGTTCTGAGGTCTGAGGTGGTGTCCCGTTTCTGCTCATCAGGAGGGTGCGGGCGCCTTTTGCCATAACCTGCCCTGACCGTCATGGCTGTGGGGAGTGATTTCCGTATCTTCTCCCTCTACACGGGCCAGCCTTCTGTGGCCAGGAAGAGCCCTCCCACCGGTTACTGATCAGTAACCTGCCTAAGCCGTTCGGCTCAGTCTCAGCATTAAGTCTAAAATGCTAAGCATGGCATAGGCAGTGGGACTACAAGATGGACTGAGCAGTTTGTGAACTTGATCTTTTTGAGGCGGTGCAGTCTGGGAGATTGGAAACCTGCAGGGTTTTATTCTAGGTACCAGAAAAGTGGCTAACGGATGCCCGTCCCCAATGGGAAATAAGCCAGCCCCCTGACACGCCATCGGAAGGGCAGCACACCACGCTCCTGTATCATCTGTGCTTTGCCTCCAGCTTTCTTGGGGATAGTCTAGGCCTCATCACTCAAACTGCTTTGAAGTTCCATAATCTTTATTTTTAGAGAGAGGAAGGGAGAGACTGACTGGTCCCACTCACTTACGCATTCATTGGCTGATTCTTGTATGTGCCCTGACCGGAATCGAACCCACAACCTTGGCGTGTTGAAACGATGCTCTAACTATGAGCTACCGGGCCAGGGCTGAAATTCCATAATCTTGAAACTGAAATTAAAAAATGAAATGTAAGATGGCATTTTAAAGCTGAGAAGGATTAACCATTAAGGATTAACCATTAATTTCTGTTTCTCTAGATTAATATTAGAAGTCAGTTTTAAGGCAATCCTATCTCAAAGTGGCCCTGTTCATTTCTTTGCCTACGTTTTCAAAACACTGAGCTAAGAATTTTTCATCCCAGTAGCACACATATGGTTAGAAGCTAACACTGAAGAGGCTTATAAGTTAAGAGAAAAAAAAAGGAGCCACCCACTATCCCACATGGTCTCTGCTCTTTCCCCTAAAAACACTATTTCTCGCTGCTGCTGGTTGCGCTGATTTATTAGGAGGCACAGGAAGCTGTCCCACTCCCCCCGCCGGGTGGGGAGGCCTTCGTCCTCAGCTCCCCAGGTGCTTGGTGTGTCTGCCCTGAGCTACCAGCTTCCCGGTCGTCTTGTTGGTCAGGTCCACGGAGGCAAAGGCCAGCGTCCTCCCTTGCTTCAGGATCTGTGCTGTGATCACCACCACTTCGCCTATTTTCGCCGGTGACATGTACCTGAAAGGAAGCAAGTTGACATACAGTTAACAGCAGTTCTTAAAGGGAAAGCCGTGTGCACGCAGAAGAGCCTGCCTGTGCTGAACTATTTCTAGGAGGAAAGTAGCCGTGCCAGAGAACCGCCTGTCCTTCAATGTGAGTGGCTGGTCCTCACCCACACTGGCTGCTTTTCCCATAAAGAGAGGAAGGGCCTTTGCCTCCACCGCCTCTTTTTCATTGTTTCCCACTTCAAATGGACTGGGAGCTGGTGGAAGGTTTCTGCAGAACTTGCTAAGTGAAGTGTCACTTGGTGTCTATATCATGTCATACTGATGTCAAGCATTTACTCAACTCTAAGATAACTATATAAGGGCTAGAATTAATACAAGGCCCTTACAGTCCTGGTGACGAATTGTGTGTACATATTATTTTAAGAGACACTTCTAACCCACCTGTACTCACAAGTTGTCATTTATTTTTGAAATATCTATAGTGTATCTTCGAGACTATGTCCTAGTTTCTGTTCAAGGGACTCCCTTAAAAAAATGTTTTTGCTGATTTCAGAGGAAGGGAGACGGAGAGAAACGTGAATGATTAGAGAATCATTGATCAGCTGCCTCCTGCACTGCCCCCACTGGGGAGCGAGCCTGCAACCCAGGCCTGTGAACCGAACCATAACCGGGTTCATAGGTCGACTCTCAACCACTGAGCTGTGCCAGGGGGGCAGGAAGTCACCAGTATTTGAAGCTCAGGCCAAAACTTATCTCAACATAGACTCTGAAAGGCCAAGACCGTCTCACCAGAAACTCGCCACGGCTGTGAAAGCAGCCTTGTCTTACGGTAGAAGGTTGTGCCCAGAACCAGGCCTCTGCTCCGGACTCTGAAGGCAGAGCCGTTGGCACGAGAGGCAAACATCTCGTAATCTTCATCTCAAAAGAACACGTGCCTCTCACCCTGGATCCGCTTACTGCACCCTCACGTTAGGGTCTTTCCATAGTGAAAAGGGACGGAACGCCGCGCTAGCCTGATAAAAAGACTTGGATTGCTTACACGCCTAATAACTGCATTTCCATCGCCCTCATGTCCCGTGACACTGGCTTTCCCACACTAACCCTTGCCAGTCCCCTGGGGAAAAAGTCATCTGTTAGTTTGGAGGCAAAAGCAATTGTCTGGAAACTCCACCCCTGGCCCCGCACTTCCATTGGGCAGGACGGGGCAGCCTTGCTGGTTAGCGCTGGAGCTGAGTGGGGTACATTTGGGAATGTGTGACCCCTGCAGGCACGCTCCCCAGGGAGTGGCAGCCTGCCCTTGGGGTGCTGCTCCCACACCGGGCAGGCAAACCCGCAGAGCCTGTCTGTGCGCCTCGGAAACACCCTATCTGTGGTCACCTTGTCACGAGGTTTCTCCATTTTTCCTTTGCCTTCCCTTCAACCTGTACGTGTCCTGAACACGCGTCAGGACTGACACAGAAGCCATGAGTCTGTGGTGATTTTCCCACCAGCATCTGTGTTAGGGGCCGAATGTTCGCTTTTTCAAAAATCTTGTTAATCTCACCCGAGGGTATTTTCCTTTTTTTAGAGAGAGAGTGGAAGGGAGAGGGAGAGACAGAGAGAAACATCCATGTGAGAGAGACACATCTATTGGCTCCCCCACACACGGCCCAGGGATTGAGCCTGCAATGGCAGTATATGCCCTAGACAGGAATCGAACCCAGAACCCCTCAGTCTGTGGTCCGACACTCTCTCCACTGAGCCAAACCTGCTAGGGCTGCTTTTTCAAATGTTTAGGTCCCTTCCTTTACTACTGGTACACACTGGACCGGGAAATTAGTTCCTTTACTTCCAGACTCAAGGCCGAGAACACTGTTGGGCAAATCTCCAATCAGTGCAGCGCGGCTACCTACGTGATGTTCATGTCCACGCTGACGCCCGGCAGGGCCCTCTCCGTGCAGAGCAGAGCCATGGTGGAGATGCTGTCCACCAGGGTGGCCGTCAGCCCCCCGTGGAGCGTGCCCAGCTTGTTGGTGTGCTCCTCCTGGACTCTCAGCTCACAGGTCACCTTCCCAGGAGCCGCCGAGACCAGCGTCACCTGAATGCAGAAGGAAAGGATGGTGAGCACCCTGTGGCCCTGGACTAACCCGAGTCACCCCAAAAAAGGCGACTCAGAAAGTCAATCTTACCCATCTCTCTCGGACAGAAGTTAACCCTTATGGAAACTTTAAAGAAAAAGGAACATACAGGGAAAAACAATAGTAGTCTTTGCTAGTTTCAGAAATCAACATTCCGTGTTATGCACAGCGGCCTGGCACCTCTTCCTGTCTCCTGGGAAATTCTGCACCAACGAAGCCAGCTGGCCCCTGGGATCTGCTAGTCCACTAGAGGTTTAATTTGGATGTTCCCTAGATTTTGCACAGGGTCATTTTTAAAATTACTTAGTAACCAATGGTTTAAAACAATTTTAAAAACAAACGAAGAAATTCCGTAATTCAAGGAGTTACTAGAGTTAATAAAGTTATGCAATAAGCTCATTTTTGGTGCAAACCCTCCGCTTAGCACCTGAGTTTGCTGCCTCGCCGCAGCTCCTGGCACCGATACCCGCGGGCTGCGGGCGCGCCCGGAATGCGCTGTCCACCGCCTCCGGCGCCGCGGGCCGCCCGGAAGGGTCGCGCAACCGTCCTTTCCGGCTCGGGAGCCGCGCAGTGCGGTCTCCACGAACGACAACCATACTCAGTCACGAACCATCACATGAGCTCCCCTGCGCCCTTGACCTGGTGCCCAACGGCGCTCCGTTAAGGCACCGCGATCGCTACGCTGAGCTGCGGGCGCAGCGACAGGACCGGGCGAGATGAGCGCGGTGCCCCTCTCCCGGCGTCACCCCCGCGGCTGCGCCTCCAATACCTTTTCCAAAACTTTGTCAAAACCGGGGACCCCGCTGATGGCCTTCATCACCTCCCGCAGGTTCTGGGTCAGGCTCATCGTGACACGTCCGCGGGCTTCCGGGCCCCGAGCAACACTGGACCTTGGAGGCGCCGGGCAGCCAGGCGCTGGCAAACGCACAAGGACGCAGAGGACGCGCACGGGTCGCCATTCGTCCGCGGGGCTCCTCCCGCGCTCGCGCACTGACGTTCCGCGCCCCGTTGGCCCGCGCGCGCATGCGCAGTGACGCCCTCCCCTGCGCCGGCCGTTCCTGCCTCCACTGCGCAGCCGCCGACCGCCTCCGAGGGCCGCCCCTTCCCCCGCCGGGCGGTGGGCGCGGCGGCGGGCGGCGGCGAGGAGCCGCGGCGATGGAGCAGAAGCGCAGCCCGGAGACCGGCCCGGAGGCGGGGCCGGAGGACGGGGACCCCGCGGGAAAGAAGCGGCTGCTGTGTGCGGACTTCGCCTCCGTCGCCGGCTGCCATGTCGATGTGGCGCGGCGCTACCTGGCGGAGAACGCCTGGGAGGTGGAGGTGCGCGCCGGCCCGGGGTGCAGGGCCCGGTGTGTGTGTGTGTGTGTGTGTGTGTGTGTGTGTGTGTGCAGGACCCGCGGGGTACAGGGCCTGGGAGGTGGAGGTGCGCGCCGGCCCGGGGTGCAGGGCCCGGGGTGTGTGTGTGTGTGTGTGCAGGACCCGCGGGGTACAGGGCCTGGGGGTACAGGGTTTGGGAAGTGGAGGTGCGCGCCGGCCCGGGGTGCAGGGCCGGGGGGGGGGGATACAGGGCCCGGAGAGGGTGCGGCGCGGGGCGGGGGGGACAGGGCCCGGGAGGGGGTGCAGGGCCGTGCGCAGGAGCCCACCCTGTGCCTGTCTTTTCAGAGGGCGCTGAACGCCTACTTCGAGCCGCGAGCGGAGGAGGGCGCCCTCCCGCGCCGCCCCGCGCCCCCGCCAGCGCCGGTGTCCTGGTGAGTGGGCGGCGGGGCGGGCGGAGCTGGGTGGAGCCCCGGTGGAGGGGGGTCCGGGAGGCCCCCTCTGGACTGTTCCTCACTCCAAGTTCAGGAAACATGCCAGCGAGAGGTTCCGAACGAATGACCGAGGCAAACGCCTCCATGGAAACATGGTAACTTGGAAGTCCTCCTGCGGCCTGTATTGACTGTTTTTAGTTTGTTCTTCATGGTTTTTATTGATTTTCAAAGAGAGAGAAACATCCTCGATCAGCTGCCTCCCGCACGCCGCTGGGGGTCAAGCGCACCGCCCGGGCCTGCGCCCTGACCCGCAGTGAACCGGTGACCTCTGGTTCCTGGGTCCATGCTCATCGCTGGGCTCTTTGTGGTTTACTCTCCGCGGCAGCCAGTGGTTTTCTGCCAAACACACCCCCTGCCTGTGAACTCTGACCGCCAGGCCTCGCCTGCAGAATGAAAGACGCATCGGGGAAGCGCGGTTGCCCTTAGAGCAGATGTGAATGGAGAGGCTGATGGGCTTAGAAAAAAGCACACGCGGGAACCACTGGGCGGTAATGATTTCGGACAGAAATCACCAGGGCTGCTGAAACCAGTGGTGGGGGAGAGACACGGGGTGGCATAGTCCCAAAGGCCTGCCCACCAAAGGCTCCCCACAGGGGTGAGTCGGCACTGGGCAGGGAGCAGTGGGGTAGACATCGCCCCAGCCAAGACCAGGCGGTCAGAGGCAGCATGGCCAGTGCTGGGGACGAAACCCACTGAGGAAGACACTCTAGCACCTCCGTGTCGTTCCTCCCAAAAAGTGCATAATCCGAATCTGATCCTCCGAAAACATCAGACAGGCCCTAAGGAGGCACATTCTATAAAATACCGGGCCCGTGTGCTTCCCCACGCCCAGGTCACGAGAGGCAAGGACTGGAGGACGATTCTGGGTTAAAGGAGACCAAGAGAAACGTGCCAGGTCCTGGAGTAGCATCTAGTAGCACCGTTGGCAAAATCTGAATAGGCCTTTAATTTTTAAAAAAAAAGAGAAAAGATTTTTTATTGATTTTTAGAGAGAAAAAGGAAGGGGGTGGGGAGAGAGAAACACCTGTGTGAGACCTGGCGTCGAAGCAGCAGCCTTGGTGCAGGGCACGACGCCCAGCCCGCTGAGCCACACCGGCCAGGGCTCAGTTCTGCACTTTTAGAAACAAGAACCCAAATACGTTTGGAAAGGTCTTGGTCTGACATGGGGTCCTCGTTTATAAAGTCATGCCATGGAAGGGCCCTGCGTTCACTCTTAACTGTAAGGAGCAAGCGTCCGGATAACAGGAAGAGTCTGTGACAGGAAAAGTCACCCCTTCAGTCGTGACTTTTGCTCTGCTGGCAGGGACTTTGGAGTCTGTAAAGTGCCTTTAACTGTGACGAAGCACTTTTTAAATTCAGCTGTTTGTGGGCGATTTGCCAAGTTGTGTTTCACTCTGATCTTGCCAGTGTGGACCTAACCAATGAGGAAGCGCCTGACCCCGTCGGCTCTAGAAGCGGCTCAGCTGGACCCCCCCAGCAGGAAGACGGCAGCATGTTCTCTCTCGTCTCCTGGAACGTGGACGGGCTGGATCTGAACAACCTGTGGGAGCGGGCTCAAGGGGTGTGTGCCTCCCTCGCGCTGTGAGTGCTCGCCCGCCTGTGGGAGGGGGCGGTCGTGGGGCAGGAGGCAGCCGCTGAAGTCTGAGACGAATTCAGGTCCCGCTCCCAGGGTGGAGGGAGGGGCGGGCAGGAACACAGGTTTTTGTTAGAAGCCTTCTCGTGCTCTTTGACTTACTGACCATGTATGTAATCACTGCTGCGAGAATTACCAGACAGCTCTGAGTCTGTCACGCTGCCGTCACCCGTGGGGTCACTGGTGAGCCACGTCGCCCTCCGGGGGATCATTGTTTCCAGAGGACGAGGACGGAAAGGGGTGATCACACGTGAAGTGTCCCGCGGGTGCAGGACTGTGGTGCCTCTCAGATTACTGCTTCCTGTTGTCAATGATTCTCATTAATTTTCCCGTGTGGTGTCACGTATATGTTTTTTAAAATTAGTCTTTGCAGTATTATGTGTGGAATAGCACAGATCTCTCATTTTGTAGTTACCAGAGAGCAGCATGAACATGGATATTGGGTGTCTGCGATGGTCAGTTTTGTATTGCTTTTATGTTGTGGTATTTCCTAATCTAGGTTCTGCAAATGAAATGGTACAGACCTGCTGTTCACCATAAACTGATGTTTTTAAATAGGTACAGCCCAGATGTGATATTTCTGCAGGAAGTTATTCCCCCATATTACAGCTTGCTAAAGAAGAGAGCAAGCAGTTATGAGATTATTACAGGTAACAGCTTTCCTGTCATTTACCTTGTCTTTTTCTTCAAAAAATGTGTCAATGAAAGAAATAAATCACAGTTAGCCTATTGGAGCATAGGCAAAAAAAAAGTACAAACACAATAAGTTTAAGCAAAACAAGCCAGACACAAAATACTGAGAGAACTATAGGAGAACATTTTATAAAGCTTTGAAGTGAGAAAGTGGTTGAAATGAATGATATCTCAGGAAAATGTAAATTGTCAAAATTTGAGATAGTGAGTAGCTATTTGGGGACATTAAGTCATTAAAAATTTTAAGTGATAATTGCATTGTAGTTACGCTTTTTTCCAAATGCTTAACTTTTCACTTATAATTCACATGCTATATTAGCTTCACGTGGTTATGCTTTTTCAGAAGTATTTTTTTCTAGCTTTTTACTCTAAATAAGATGGTCTTTTATTTTCCACCTGTTTTGTGTTTACCACTTTGGCTCAATCCCCTGTCTCTGCTGCCTTTCCCTTGTCCACGGGACGAGGTTTGCTTCTGACTTACTGTCTAGCCCAGACTTGCTAAGGAGAGGGCTCCCGCTGGGCCGCCGTCTCTTTCCTGCTCTGTCTGTGGGACGGCTTTCCTGCCTTCTGGGGATTCTTTCTCGCTCCTGGATTGGATTTCTTGTTTTCTGAACCGGTGCCTGCCTCCTCCCCGGTGTACTTCCGCATTTTATTGGTGCAGATTCTCAAATCACTTTCTAAGAAAGAGTGTGTGGGGAGGGGAGTTTCTGAATCCCTGTGATTCGTCCCCAGAATTGGTTGATTGTTTGGCTACACATAGATTTCTGGGTAGAAAGGTATTGATCAGTGTTGCCCGGTTTCCATTGTTGATTATAAGTTTGAAGCCATACTAATTCCTGGCCTCCCCTCTCCCTAAGCTTTGAGGGTCTTCTTTTCCATCCTGGTGTTCTTTGGTGGTTTTTGTTTTTTTGGTTTTTTTCTCATACATTCTGAACACTTGGAAAGAACTTTCAGTCTGGAGGTTTATGACCTTCAGTTCTGGAAAATTCGTCCCTCTCTCTGTCCCTCTCCGGCCCCCCTGCCACCTCTCTAGCCTCCCACCCCTTCCTTCCCTTCCATTCTCTTTTCCTTCTTTTCTCCTTTTTCCTTCCTTATCTTCCTTTTTCTTCTTTGGATCCTTTGTTCCAATAAACCAGTTACCACTCCTCCATCTGCTTGGTGGTTTTTATTGAACCGTTGGAGCCTCCCTCCCTGCCCTTCTGTTCTGTTCTTCTTGCAGCTTTACACCTTCTGTATTTTCTGTTCATTTATCATAATTCCCCTGGGGCTTCCGAGTGAGAAGTAAATTTGTTTCCTGTTGGCACCATTAACTATTTTGGCACCTATGTGAAGTCATGTTTATTTTTATATTTCGTCTGTACTTCTGTGACATTGTGGGAGGGGGCAGGTAAACATGGGGCATGGTTGGCCATCTTCAGCTATTTTGAAATAATAGTTTTAAGATTGAGATCCATTTGAGTGTCTGTACTTGTTTGCTATAAAATCTTCAGTAGGGGAACCTGTTACACTCTTGTCTTCTCAACTGAAATTCTTTTCTACAAACTTTTGAAGGTCATGACGACGGGTATTTCACAGCCATAATGTTGAAGAAATCAAGAGTGAAATTGAAAAGCCAAGAGATTATCCCTTTTCCAAATACACAAATGATGAGAAACCTTTTGTGTGTGCATGTGAGTAATTGTTAAAAATCAACGGCTTTTTAAAAATGGAATAGTTTCTTCTTCATAGTTCCATGGTGTTGTCCTTTCTTTTCTTCTTACTGTTTCTTTAGAAAGAATTTGCTCCTCACTTAGAGATTCTTCTATTAGTCTTAAAGAACTTTGTGAGTTAAGTTTTTATATAAATTTCAAACATAGACAAAAGCTTGTAAAAATAAAATCCTTGATTTGTTAGATGTTTTCCGAAGAACGTGAAAGGAATTCTTTCCTAAGAATTTGTTAATATTCCCTTCGCTTCCGCGGGTGTGCCAGTCAGTGGGCTGATCTGCTGATTCTGGGGTCAGAGGCCAGCATCGGGGCTGACTTACCAGCTGTGCTCTTGGTCCCGTGTCAGGCGAGCGTGTCGGGAAACGAGCTGTGCCTCATGACTTCCCACCTGGAGAGCACCCGGGGGCACGCGAAGGAACGCGCGAATCAGTTTAAAATGGTTCTAAAGAAGATGCAGGAGGCTCCCGAGTCGGCCACCGTCATATTTGCAGGGGACACAAATTTAAGGGATCACGAGGTGAGTGACACAGCCGTTCACTGCTGCGGGCGGGTTGTTGGCGTGGAAGCTGATTCCGGTTCCTTGTGGATAACGCTGGTAAAGGGGTGCTTGCCCTTGTCGGTGAAAGCCCAGCAATAGTGACTCAGCCGTGCCCTGTCCAGGAGGCCTGCTGTGTGCCGGGGAGACGGGGCGTGTGAGACACGCAGGGCAGTGGGGAACGAGGGCTCTCGGGAAAGTCACGTTCATCGTGGGTCTAGTTGCGAGGTGAGGAGAACAAAGAGTGGAGCGTCATGGTTGTCCCCTTTCCTGGCACCACGTGTCCAGGTCTGAACGATGGCTCTCTTTCCTTCGTTCCGTTGAGACGCAGTGAGGTTTCCAGGGCCCTTATAGACCCAGAACCTGCCTTCGCCGCGGTGGCCCAGCTCCCGTCAGACTGAGAGCGGATGGAGATAGAGGTTCTGCTCAGGTCCCTGCCACAGCTCCAGGGGCAGGACGACTGAGCAGGGAAGGCAGTTTCCCAGGAAGGAGGCGGCTCAGCCTCCTGGGCGCGGTGTCGGCAGGGGCACAGCCGTAAGAACGGGCCTTTCTGTCGGCTGCTCGCAGATTGACTTGTTTATGGCAGCGGTTTCTGAGTGTCTGGTTGAGTGACTTTTAAACCCCGCTTTTCAACAAGTAGTGTTTGAAACCGATACCACGTGCAAGAATATGAAGTTGGGTCTTTACGTCCCATATCAGATCTTCAGCGTGGACCAAAGACCTAAAATCAGAGCAAGAGCATAGGGAAGCTTCATGGCCCTGGATTGGCAGTGACTTCTTGGGTATGGCACCAACAGCACAGACGACACAGAACAAACAGAGGAGGCGGATGTCATGAAAATAAACTGTGTGCATCAGTGGAGTGAAAAGGCGACCTATGGAATGGGGGGGAATACTTGCAAATCATATATCCCACAAGCAGTTCGTATTCAGAATATATAAAGAACTCTTACAAGGAAAAGCCAACAATAAGAACCGGATTATTATTTTTTCATCCTCTTCGCTTCTTGCCACTTACTGTGCTGGCTGCATGCTTCACAAAATTGAGGAAATCAAGGATTTGCTGCCCACAGCCAGGCCAAAGGGTGCCACATATGTCAGGATCAAGAAAAACAAGCATAGTGTGAAGTCCAAAGTCCAAGCAGCCGGTACCTTTTATCTTGGCCACGGCAGAAGGAGAAGCTGAAGCAGTGCCTGTCCCAGGTTTGGCTCTGAAGCTGGAATGAACCGGACATGCTGATCTGCATTAAAATGTTAGAAACTCTTCAAAAAAGACAACCTAATTAAAAATGAGCCAAAAAGGCCTGGCTGCACAATTATGTGGGTTTACTTAATGCCGTTGATAAATGTGTATTTTTAAATGGTATATTTTACGTATAATTTATAATAATGTAAAAAAACAAGTGTGAGTGAAAAAAGGGAAGACTTAATATTGTTAGTAAATTTCAAATAAAACTGAAGGCAGTTGACATCATTGGATCATATAAATGGCATCTTCCACATTTATATATATAATAAAAAACAAACTGATGAACAAAAATAGAGCCAGAGAAAAACATATTTTAGACTATAATAGAAGCAATCCTGTTACTTGCAGACTTTTAATATTTCCAAAGGCACCTTTTTAATTTAGGGGAAAACACTGGAATCTTACAGAGTTTTCTGTCTTTTCAGGTTACCAAATGCGGTGGTTTACCCAGCAACATCTCGGATGTCTGGGAGTTTTTGGGCAAACCTAAGCACTGCCAGTACACGTGGGATACACAGATGAACTCTAACCTTGGCATCCGTGCCACCTGTAAGCATCGCTTTGATAGGATATTTTTCCGAGCGGCGGCGGGAGGCGGCCACATCATTCCCCAGAGTTTGGATCTCCTTGGGCTGGAGAAACTGGAGTGTGGCCGGTTTCCCAGCGATCACTGGGGCCTTCTGTGCACCTTGGACGTCATATTGTGAAGAGCTTTTCAAGTAGAAGTCACATGTTCTGAGTAGTTTTGTGCTGGAGATTTGCACATAGAATTCCTGCCATCTGGAAAGTCAGGTTTCGTATGGAAGGAATATATTGGACCACCAGAAGAGAAGGAAAAACTGATTCTATTTTGTGTTTTGTGTCCTTAGTTTTCAGAACAAAGTATTAATGTTTATTTCGAGGGAATATCTGTGTTCAGAATATGAGGTCTCCTGGTGAGAGTACATGAAGGCTGTCAGCTGTCAGTAGTGCTGAGAGCTGCGGCTAGATTGCACTGCCTCTGGGCCAGCCTTTAGCGTTGATTTATTGTAGAAATCGGGAACCAAAGTAGTGAATGTTTAGGTAAGTCTTCAAGAGAAACAAACTGGAGGCCACTGAGTCCTTGGCACTGGGTCTTTGGTACCAGGTCATCAGCGTTGGAGCGGGCGACAGCTGCCCTGTGTCAGCCGACCTTGCCTCACTGGTGAGCTGGACCTGAACTCGTGACTTAACATTCCTTAACTTTTAAATCCATATCTGTAGTTGTGTAACCAAGAGAGCCAAGTTGGGCGTGATGGGGATGAAAGTCCGTTTACAGCAGTTCTGGACTGGTTTTCGAGAGCAGAATAATGTGTAAAGAGAAACAGCCTTTTAGTTTTGCTACGCTAAATGGAATTATTTTACAAGAGATGAGGAGCACCTTTAAATGTGCTTTAAGGGAACATTTTTTCCCATAAGAGAAAGATACTTTAAATAAAGAAATGTACTTGCTTGTAGTTTGTTTTTGTGTGTGGGGGGGCTAGGGAGGGGATTGAATTTTAACGCCTGTTTCTGGCTGCATCCCTGCTACTTCAGCTTGTGGGAGAAAACCCTGCAGGCTTGGGGGTTGTTGGTGACAAACCTAAGCAACAAATAAGGAAGTGGCTGGGGCACTGAAGCCACACCTGCTTTCATGGGCAGTGGTTCTCAGTGCGAGAATTGAGAACCTATAATGTGCAATGCCTTGAGTTTTTTACTTTGAATCCCAAGTTTTCCCAGGACAGTGGCTTCAGGTACTTGACCTCCCTCCTTGGTGGAGTTGCAACTGGGAATCTGATTTCAGCGGCTGAAGCGCCCTTTTGCCGGGATGGGGTGCACTTGGACCTTCCAGACCTCAGTTCCTCCCACCTTCAAACCGGAAGTTTCTTGTCTTTGGTTGTGCAGTTCAGTAACCACATAAACCAGAGCCAAGTGTGGAAAGCTGTACCAGGAGACATTTCATCCCCCCGCCCCCCAGCCTTCCCATATGAGTGCTGTTATCTCCATTTTATCCTGGGGCAGGGGCCCCGCAGGCTGACGGCACTCCTCCGAGGCCTGCCCTGCCCTCTGCCCCAGCTGGGCTCTAGCACCTCCATTGCAGGCAGCAGCATAAATGCCGGCCTGGCTCCTTGCTCCTGGGTTTCTGCGGTGGAGATGCGAGCTGTGGTCCGGGCTGCTCCCAGCATCCTTTCCATCCTCGGTCTGTAGGCTCCGGCTAGAGGAGCGGGACTACCACAGTGCGGGGGGGGGGGGGGGGGGGGGGGGGGGACCTTGCCCCCAGGGAGCGCGCGGCCCAGTGCCTGGTGCTGGGTACCGGCTGGGCCCGCAGGTGCAGGTGCGCAGAAGGTGCAGGTGCGCGTGCGCACGCGTTGCCCTGGTAACGGCAGCGCCCTACAGGCGCTGTGACTCCGGCGCGCGCTCTCCGGCTGGACGCGTCCTCGGGACCCCAGAGAGCGTGACGGGACCCCAGACTGAGAGCCGCAGCCTGAGGAGGAGGAGGCGAGGGTGGCGGCTGCGAGTGCGCGGGCCGGGTCTGTGGTTTAGAGGAAGCTGGGTAGGATTCGAATCTGTACCACCAACTTGTTTTTATTTTTTAAATGTTTATATAATTTTTTATTAACTTTAAAGAGGAAGGAAGAGGGAAAGGGGATGGAGCCCACAACCCGGCCTGCACCGGGACTCGAACCGTGACCTCTCGGTTCATAGGTTGATGCTCAACCACTGAGCCGCGCCCACGGGCCGTCAGCCGGCCTCCCTCTTAGCCTGAATGTCCATGGCCTTCCTGTGGGCGCCCTGCTTGCTCCCTTTTAAAGGAGAAATGGGGAGTTCTGGGCGGGGGGGGCATCTGGTTTATGTCGTAGACATGCAGGTCATCGGGTGCGTGGTGAGCTCTGCACACGCATCTTAGTTCCCGGTGGACGACCTGCAGGACGGCTGTGGGTGCGAGGAGGGGCGGCATGTGCGCAGGCGCAGGCGATCCCGCTGTTACAACGCAATAGCAGCTGCCCTGGCCGGAGTGGCCAGTGGGTAGCGTGTCCACCTGCCCACTGAAGGGTCCTGGGTCCTTCAAAGGCAGGTACTCAGTTGCAGGCTCCGCCCTGGCTGGGGCGCGTGCAGGAGGCAACCAATCGATGTTTCTCTCACATCCATATTTCTCTTTCCCTCTCTCCAAAATAATGGAAAATACCCTCGGCTGAGGGTTAACAAAAAATATATAAGTAAATAAATACATGGAAAAGTATTAACAAACCAAAAAAGCAATAGCACCTGCTACTGCCCCCTCCTTCTCCTCCTTTCATTTTGATTCGGATGGTGAATTTTGTTACTTATATTTAATTAAAATAAATTTTTAAATACACGCAGCGAGCCCAAGTTGTCCTGTAGGCCAGTGTGCCAACACCTGGACTAGATTGCGTTCTACGTGGATCTCTGACAAGAATTTCAAAACTGAAGTCATTAATTTTGTAACTGAATATATTGGGGTGACATTGGTTAATAAGACGATACACGTTTCCAGTGTACAGCTCAACACATCTGCACGCTGCCTCCGGCGCAGCCGCCCAAGCCGGGCCTCCTTCCGCCCCCACCACCTGCCTCCCCCCTCCCTCTGGTGATGCCATACGTTGTCTGTGTCTGTTTTTGTTTTGCTTTTTCTCAATCCCTTCACCTTCCTCAGCAGCCCCTAATCTAGTTTCTCTCGGTGATAAAGCCAGCATCGTGTCCCACCTGCATAAATCCTGTCACCTCCTCAGCTCCTGGGGGAGAAGAGTGGGGTGTTACGTGTTGATCCCCTAAAACCTCAGGCAGAGCTTTCCTGTGTGGCTCGTCACTGTCCTCCTCCAGCTCCCGGGGGTCCTCATGCCAACACCCCACCTTCTGGTCCTCTCCCTACCTGTCAGAACACGCTCAGATGATGCACTGGCACGAAAAACCATCACCGCAAACTTGAACACGGAAACAGGAAGTTGTTAATTCACATTTATTAATGACAGCTGCACAAACCGGGAGACAGGAGCTGAAAAACAGACCGTCCGCACAGTTCCCACGAACTCCCGTTTCATCCCACAACACAGAGCACGAGGAAGTCGCAGCACAGACATGAGCCAGTGAAAGGCTGCCCCGGCCACGCGCACCACGTCGTTACCACGATGGCCGGTTACTGCACGGACAGTGCGCTCCCAGTGAGGCCGGCTGAGCTGCTGTGCTTCTGCCCTCACGGGTCTCCCCACCAGGAAAGGTGGGCAGGGAAGGAGAACGAACACTTGGCACAAATTCGTAGTTAAAAGCCACTCACAGGGGTGAGGATCAAGGAGCAGCTGAGCTCTCCAGGTGAGGACTCTGCATGGAGGTGCGGGGGGAGGGGGGAGGGAGCTCAGTGGGGAATGTGCGTCCTCAAGGCTGAGAACTGTAGGGATGTGTAAACCTGCGAACGACATTTATACAGGACCCTGGGGCCGGGGAGACAGGCAATCTTTTAGCCGTAGCTCTAGCCGCATTAAACACCGGAGAATTCACACTGGATAAGGGCCTTGTGGACACTGGAATGTGGGAAATAATTTACCTTCAATCCCGGGCTCCGGAAACACCCGTCAACCGCACGAAGGCCTCATACGCAAATGTGGGAGACCGTTTGCCCGGCTCCGGCGTCCTCTTAGGAGGACAGTGGACGAGGGCAGGCCTCCAGCCGCAGGGCTTACGTGTCGGAGACACATGCTGCTTTTTTAAGGATTTGGGGCCGTTTGTATTGCCGTTTACTTTTCCTTTGAGTTACGTGATAACTGCGGGGAGTTCTCGGGAGAACTCACTGGGCACAGCACAGAGGATACCGTTACAGGCGGGCGCTCGCCACGAGTAACCGACAATCGCAGGCAGGTCAGTCCCTCGCCCGCTCGGGGTCGAGGTCAGTCAGGGGCTGGGTCCCTCCCTTGGGGTCTAGGTCAGGGCTGGGAAAGTCCCTCCCTCGGGGTCGAGGTCAGGGCTGGGACAGTCCCTCCCTCCGGGCCCAGGGCAGGGCAGGACATTCTCTAAGAGCCAGAGTTTGTGTCTCAGGCTTCGGGGCCGCACTGTCCCTGTGACAGGCACTCGGCTCGGCCAGGAGAGTAGCCACAGCCCCTCTGGCAGGTTCAGGGCTGTGGCCGTGTTCCAATAACCTTGTATTTACAGACGCTAAGTCTGAGTTTCATAAAATTTTCGTGTCATGAAACAGTATTGTTCCCTCCCCCATTTGGGAATATGAAAACCGTTCTTAGCGCTGGGCTGTGAACACGTACGTACATATGCACGCACACACATACGGCGGGTAACACCGGGCCCCTCTCCTCTGGTCTAAGCTCTGAGCCACGTGCGGGGGGCGGAGTCACGCCCAGAGGTCACCAGCCTTGGGAGGGGCCACCGGGCCAGCTTGCTGCCTGCTGCCCTTTGCTAGAGGCAGACAGTCCGTGGCGGGTCGCGGGGAGTCTGTAGCCACAGGCATGTGGCACCTGATGTCCCTAGTTAGGTAAGGGGAGAGGCAGAGTCCCACCTGTTTAAGATGAGGAGGTCTGGATGAGCTTTAAAAACTTGGTAAAGTTTTAAAAGCGGGTTCGGCTCGGTGGTTAGGGTTTGGTTCAGTGGTTAGGGTTTGGCTCGGTAGTTAGGGTTCTGCTCAGTGGTTAGGGTTCTGCTCGGTGGTTAAGGTGCCCGCCAGCAGACCAAAGGGTCAAGGGTTTGATTCTAGGTCCAGGGCCTGCCCCTGGGTTGCAGGTTGATCCCCAGCCCAGGTGAGGGCTCGTGCGGGAGGCAACCAATCAATGTCTCTCTCACATCAATGTTTCTCCCCCTTCCACTCTCTAAAACTCAATGGACAATACCCTCGGGTGAGGAGACTAGAGAAGCTACTGTAGTTCAGACGCCTGTGGGTGCATTGACAGGTGGCGTGTGCCACGGGCGCAGGCGAGCTCCTTTATTTCCTAAAGCACACGGACCCTACAAGCCGCCGAGGCACACGTACTTGACCTCCAGGTACTCGTCGATGCCGTACTTGGAGCCCTCGCGTCCGAGGCCTGACTGCTTCACGCCACCAAACGGGCACTCCACGGCCGAGAGCAGCCCTTCGTTGACACCCACCATGCCCACCTCCAGCTGCTCCGCCACCCGCCAGATCTGGGCGGGGTCCTGGGAGTAGAAGTAGCCTGTGCGGGAGGAAGGACAAGGAGCGTGCAGGACGTCACGGGGGCGTCCTGTCCAAACTGAGGGGCACTGACCCAGCCTCCTCCCTCGGGCTTGGCAGCACCCGGCTCCCAGGGAGACCCTAAGCCGAGCCTGTCCGATTCGTCCTCTCAGACCCTGTACGTTCTTTCTAAAGGACCAAGGCCTACCCGGCTGGCGTGGCTCAGTGGTTGAGCGTCAACCTAGGAACCAGGAGGTCACAGTTCGATTCCCATCGGCACAGGCCCAGGTTGTGGGCTCAATCCCCAGTAGGGGGCGTGCAGGAGGCAGCCGATCCATGATTCTCTCTCTCCCCCTCTCCTTTCCTCTCTGACATCAACAAAAATGTATGTTTTTAAAAAGAACCAAGGCAGCCTCCCCTAGGCTCACTCTGTGACCCTCCTCATGTATCTGAAGCCCTTCTCCTGTCTCACTGTCCCCATCCTTCCGTCCTTAATAAATGTCCTCTCAAGTCACCGGCCTTGGGTGTGAAATCTTCCCCCGCAAAGTCAGGGACCCACACATTCCGGGCCGTGCAAGGGCAGGCCCATGGTCCCGGTCCCTGCCTGGCGACGGTGTGGCCACTGTCCTTTTACTTGGAAATGGTCATGACGCCCTCTGCCCAGCCCGCACTTCCTCTCCGTTCAGCCCAGGCCCAGCGGGGCGGGAGCAGCACTTGGATTTCCAGGCAGCCAGCCCCGGAGGACAGGGACTCATGGTGTGTGAGTCCCCACCGGGAACCACCCGTTCCGCCTCTCCCCTGCCCCCGCTCCCACCCGAGCTCGCGGCGAGGCAGAAGGATGGGAGTGCACACCCGCCCGCCCTCAGCGAGCACCAGACAAGTGTCCTCCGACCCAGCTGGCGTCTCGGGGGAAACGTCAGCCTCCGCTTGAGACGCGCCCACGGCCCTGAGGGCAGGACAGACACCCACCTGCTAACCCCACGTCGGCCGCATTCGCGATCACCAGCGCCTCCTCCTCCGTGTGGAACCTGCCAGGTGAGCGGGCAGCAGAGTGTGAGCTCAGGGAGGAAACGCCGGCTTCCTCCCGACTCATCTCCCCAGCGATGGCGAGAGAGACAGGTCTGCAGGGACCCAGAGCGGGCAGAGGGGAAGGCACCCCGGCTGCGAGGACCACCAGTGCCACGTGTCCAACAGAGCCCCTCCTGCCGGGAGCCGATCCATCCTTGCTGTTTCAAGGGACCTGGCATATATGGCATACTGTTCTTAATATGTTTGCTCACCTTCTTGGCACTATGTGTTTTAACCAAGGTCACCTCTCTGAGAAAGGTTGTTTCCCCAGGTAGGGATTTTCCCCTGAATTTAGGGAGGGAATAAAACCCCTTAACTAAGTGCCAGGTGGGTAATTAATCACTTTAACTACGAACAATCATGCTTAAGCTACATAATCTTTACTCCCTGGAATGGAGACAAGAAACGCTCTAACCTTTGGAATAGAGATTGATAGGATTGGAATCAATTGGTATAAATACAGATGTAACAAGACAACAGGACACAGAACCTAGACACAGAACCTACACAGAACCTAGAGACAGAAGAACTTCCCTGGAGAGAACATGGCAAAAGATCTTGGACAGAAACTGGAGACAGAACCAAGAGACAGAACCTAGCGAGAGAACATGGCAAGAGAACCTGACTAGAACCTGGTGACCGAACCTGGCTGGAGAACCTAGCGAGGGAACATGGCTACAGAACCTGGCTGGAGAACCTGGAGAACCTGGCTGGAGAACCTAGCAAGAGAACATGGACACAGAACCTGGCTGGAGATCCTAACCAGAACTTCGCTGGAGATCCTGGCTAGGCTGCTGATCAACTGAACGCTGTCTCTGTCATTCCTTCTTCACCGACTCCGTCCACACCTTTGGGGACCCCTGGACCTGCTGAGGTTGGACCCCAGCACCCTCCCTCCACCCTCCCACAGCCAGGCCTCCCGACCTTCCCGCGACCTTGGCGGGCGGGGGTCTTACTTGATGACCGGGGCCAGGGGCCCGAAGGTCTCCTCCCGCGCGCAGAGCATGTCCCGCGTGACGTTGCTGAGCAGCGTGGGCTCAAAGAAGTTGTTCCCAAGTTGGTGCCGCTTCCCGCCGGTCACGAGGGTGGCCCCTTTGGCCAGTGCGTCGCTCACGTGCGTCTCCACCTGGGACAGGAGAGGCCAGACCCGGGAGCTGGTGAGGACACCTCGCCACCACAGACCCCTCCTCGAGCGGGTGGAGCTTTGTGACCCGATTTCTCAGTTCAGCTGGAACCCACGCAGCCCGGTCCCGGTCCCTCCCCCGCCCTCACTCCATGTGGGCCCCGGCCTCTGAGATCCGATGGCGTGGCTCAGCGGTGGAGCATCGACCCACACAGCAAGGGGGGGCATGCAGGAGGCAGCCAATCCATGATTCCCTCTCATCATTGATGGTTCACTCTCTCCCTCTCCCTTCCTCTCTGAAATCAATAAAAATATATTAAAAAAAAAACACCCACAAAACAGCAAAGCCCGTCTTCCTTCCCTTTCACGCGTTGGTTGGGAAAATTAAAGAACTTTGTGTTGCGAGGCCCTGAGGCAGCCAGGGGTGGAGTCCACCGCCCTCAGAGGAGAGGCAGGGAGCGCAGCAGGACTACAGGGACGCGGCGCCAGGACAGCCGGAAGGGCTGTGGCCAGGTGACGCCCCACGACGCACACACATTGGCAGGAATTCCGTTTTTTCCCGACGTCTCTGCCGTTTCCGAAACAGACTTGCCGGGCACCTTATCCAAGTGCCTTTTGCCGGGGAACCTTCCGATGCCAACACCGGGACACTGAACAGACGACCAACGAGCTACCTTTTCCACCGCCTTCTCGTTGATCAGCGGGCCTTGAGTCGTCCCTTCCTCAAACCCGTTCCCCACACGCAGGCTGGCCCGCATCGCCTCCGCCAGCTTGCTCACGAAGGCGTCGTGGATCCCGCTCTGCACCAGGAACCGGTTGGAGCACACACAGGTCTAGAGAGAGAAGAACGAGCGGGTGGACTGTGTGTCGGCGGCCGCTGACCCAGCCCAGAACCAGGCCCGCGCGGCCGCCGTGCCCGCCGCGGGAAGAGAGGACGGTTTGATGAAAAGAACTTCCGTGAAGCCAGGGACCCCTTCTTTCTCTCGGGGCCTCCCAGCCTCCGGCCCCTGGTAAAGAGAGGGCCTTACTGTTTGCTGAGAAGGTGAAAGAAGAAAGAACGGACCGTGGAAGGAACCCAAGTTTCCTCCCAGGAGACGCAGGAGGTAGAAGGACCTTCGTAAAACACAGACACGCAAGAGCCGGGACACGCCCGGGACTCACCTGTCCCGAGTTCCTGAATTTCGAGGCCATGGCCCCCGCCACGGCCTGGTCCACGTTGGCGCTGTCAAACACGATGAACGGGGCGAGGCCGCCCAGCTCCATGGACACCCTCTTCACGGAGTTGGCCGCATGGTGCAGCAGCGCCTGGGGCAGAGGGGAAGGGGCCGTGGGTGCGCGAGGCCTCCGCCACCAGGACCCGCCAGCCCTTTCCAAGTGACCCAACAGCGAGGGTGCCAGGCGCCCGGGGATGGGGGGGGGTGGGGCGAGATGTGATGACACTTCGCACAAGAAAAGGGCGAGTGCCCGGCGGCGTGGCTCAGTGGATTGAGTGTCGGCTGCGGACTGAAGGGTCCCGCACAGGCCCGGGTTGCAGGCTCGATCCTCAGTAGGGGCGTGCAGGAGGCAGCCGATCCATGATTCTCTCTCATCACTGATGTTTCTATTTCTCTCTCCTCCCTTCCTCTCTGAAATCAATAAAAATATTTAGGGAAAAAAAGGGGGGGAAGTGTCCAGCAGCGTGGCTCAGTGGTTGAGCATCGACCTATGAACCAGGAGGTCACCGGTTCGATTCCCCGTCAGGGCACAGGCCCAGGTTGCGGCTCCATCCCCATTGAGGGGCGTGCAGGAGGCAGCCGATCCACGATTCTCTCTCATCATTGATGTTTCTCTCTCTTCTCTCCCTTCCTCTCTGAAATCAATTTTTTAAAAAGTCCCCTTATTTTCTGTAAGTACCCTTATACTAAACACAATTTTCATTCAAGTCTGAGACGTGCATTTCAACACCCACGGTGTGTTTCTGGGAGCTTGGTTCTAGGTTATGAATGAAACCTGCATTCCAGCACTGAGACCCGGATGTGTTCTAGACAAGCAGGCCCTGTGCCTGAGAGCCTGAGCCTTGCTGGCATCTTCCTACGCGGCGGCCAGGCCATTGTTAAACGTAGTAAAGGGAAAACACGAGAACGAACGATGTACCTTCCCGGTGGCCGTGGAGCCGGTGAAGGAAATCTTGGACACGAGCGGGTCGGTGCAAAGCGCCTCCCCCACCTCCTGGGCCCTCCTCCGGGAGCAGGGCACCACGTTGTAGGCCCCGGGGGGGATCCCAGCCTGGTTGGCGAGCTGTGGAGGGACCAGCAAGCACGGGCAGCGAGTGAGAAAACAGAAAAGAGAAATAAACTGACGTTTTCCTCTAAAAAGAAACGGGGGAGACTCAGCTGCCTTTGGGGACAGGATCGGAATATATTTGGGAGTGAAACGGGCGCCTCATCGGTGCCGCTGGGATATGCGTGTTGTCACTCCTTTAAAATGAGGAGTCGCCGGGACAGGCCTGGTGGGAGCAGCAGGAGAGCTGAGGGACGGGTGGCTACAGCCCGCAGTCGGGCGCTGCTTTAAACACGGGAGGCCCTTTCAGCCAAGAGGCGTGGGGGGGGGGGGGGATTGGCGGGGGCCGATGGGTCAGGGGCTCTGGAGGGACGGGGGGGGGGGGGGGGGGGCGGAGCGAAGCTGGGCAGGTGGCATCTGTCAGGGCCTGAGGGCACTGCCGGAAGCTTGGGCTTTACCCTGAGTGACAGAAGCCGGGGGGCTTCACGCACAGAATGACCAGACCTGACCTGCCGCAGACGGACCTGGAGAAGGGAGGGGGCGGGAGCAAACGCCCAGGTGTCGCCATCTGACTAGGTCTGCCCCTTTGATAAAAACGATGGCAGATGGCATTTTTAGGGCAGCCCACAGATGTCAGGAAATCCTCACCATTGTTTTGTCTAAAAAGGGCAACATCTGACTTAAGAGAATGGCGGAGACGTTCGAGCAACGCCATCCAGCGAGAGGCGCGGGCCAAGCGGAGGCTCCCACCTGCGTCCTCGTCCCGGGGCCAGCGTCCTCGTTGGCAGGGCAGGCTCACCTCGGCCAGCGCCAGGGCTGAGAAGGGCGTGTCTTCGGCAGGTTTGACCACGACGGTGCAGCCGGCGGCCAGGGCGGCCCCCACCTTGCGGGTGATCATGGCGCTGGGGAAGTTCCACTGGGGACAGAGGTGCCGAGGCCGTTAGAGGGGGTGCCGCCCCAGTGTGCACCTGACCCCCCGGGCCGATGCCCCCACATACCGGGGTGATGACGGCGGCCACTCCGACCGGCTGCTTGAGCACCAGGGCCCGCTTCTCCCGGGAGGCGGTGCTGATGACGTCCCCGTAGATGCGGCGCGCTTCCTCCGAAAACCACTCCAGGAACTGGGCGGAGTACAGAACCTCCCCCTGCGCCTCCTTCAGCGGCTTCCCCTGAATCCGGGCAGAAAAGGACCCCATCACCTGGCGTCACAACAGCAGGACTGTGCTCGGACCTCCCCCAGGCTGCGAGCAGGGGAAGCCCCATCGCCAACCCCGCGGGGGGGGGAAATAAGCAGGATCCGGCGGAGACGGAGTGCGCTCGGCCACGGCCGGCACCGGCCCTTCAGCGTGTTCCCACGTTAGAGACAGAACCGCACCTGCTGACTTTTTTTCTCCTTCGCACCTCGCCTCTAAGTGGTGGCCGGGGTGCAAGGAGCTGATGACAGCTACGGAGATGCCAGTGGTACGTCTTTAAATGCACAGACGCAACAGGAAAACCAACCAAAACAGTCGCACGGAACAGACGGGACGGGAACAGCAGCGTTCACAGTTACACCCGAAACCCACCTCCCGCACACGACTGAAGAGGACGTTAGAACACACACACACACACACACACACACACACACACACACACGTCGTCTCAGAAAACCAGGGCTGGGCTTTAATGAGGAACAGTCTGTGCCTGGCGCTGAGATTCGCTGACATCTGATCACCAGGCAGGGAACCCCCTTGTGCAGCCACCCGGGGGAGGTTGGGTCCGCCAGCTCCCAGGCAGCACCCGCTGGGACTCACGCTCTCGGCTGTGATGATCCTGGCCAGGTCGTCCTTGTGTTGCATCATCAGGTCATACCATTTCCGAAGCAACGCGCTCCGTTCCTGGAAAAGAGATGAAACGGTAGAGAGAGTGCAACGCCAAGCGTAAGAGACACCAGACAATCTTCAGCTCTGACAGCCTCAGCCACGGCTCCTTCCTGGGGAGCCGCAGCGCCCGTCCTGGGAGGAGCAGCACAGACCCCACCTCGGGGCTGCAGGAGCTCTGACCCCATTGAACACCGCCCCTCCCCGCGCCCCCTCTCTGTCCCTGTGACGTCCCACTCCAGGGCCCCCGGCACTGGAGTCACACAGCACTTGCCCTGTGTGGCCCGTTTCCCTGGCATACGTCCTCCAGTGCAGCCCCCTTTTTAAAAAAATACATTTTTTTTATTGATTTCAGATAGGAAGGGAGAGGGAGAGCGAGCGAGAGAGATGTCAGTGATGAGAGAGAATCATGGACCGGCTGCCTCCTGCACTGCATGCCCCACAATGGGGATCGAGCCCGCGACCCTGGCCAGGAATCTAACGGTGACCTCCTAGGAGGGTCATAGGTCCACGCTCGACCACTGAGCCACGCGGCCGGGCTACAGCTCCGTCTTTCAACAGCTCAGGGCAGGTGAACCTGGGCTGCGCTCCCTGTGCGGTGGGGGTCTGCAGGGCAGGTGCCGAAGGGCAGGTGCTACTCGGTGCAGGAGGAGGGGGAGGAGGAGGAAAATGCGTCTCCCAGTTTTCTTCCTCCAGTTCCCCTCTCACCGCACCCCCACTTCCCCAGCGACTCTAAGAGGTCAGTTCTCAGCTGTGTTTCCCTCTTCAGGCGGAAAGGGTCCTGGGCCCCTTCCCCAGGGCATGGCCCGCCCAGGGCGCTCCCCCCGCCCTCCCGACGCCAGGGGGCGGCGTCCGCGGGTCTCCCCGCAGCCTGGGGCGGGCTCCGGTGCTGCGAGGGCCCGGAGACCCGGACACCCGCGGCGGCGTCGGGCTGCACCGGGCTCGGCGCGAGGCCCGGGCTCTGGACCGGACTGCGCAGCCCCGCGTTCTCATCCCGTGAAGGGTGAAGGCCGGGGTGCGGGCGCACTCACCTTGGCCAGGGCGCCCTTCCAGCCGCGGAAGGCGTCGTGGGCGGCGCGCACGGCGGCGCGGGCCTCGGGCGCCCCGCAGTCGGCCACCCGGCCCAGCTCGGCGCCGCTGGCCGGGTCGCGCACGGGGAAGGCGGCGGCGGCGGGGACCCAGCGGCCGCCCACGAAGGAGTCGGTGCGCAGCAGCGCCGCGGGGAGGCCCGGCGCGTAGGTCCGGAGCGGGCCCGGCCCGGGCGCCCCGCCGCCGGCGCGGGGGCCGAGGAGCGCGGGTCGGAGGCGCGGGGCCCCGCAGCGCGGCAGCCGCACGCAGGTCGCCATGGCCCGGGCGCGCGGAGCGGAGCGGAGAGCCGGGCGCGGAGGCGGGTGGCGGACGCGGAGCAGCGCCCCCTCGCGCTCCAGGCGGGACCTGACGGAGCGCCGCGCCGCCGCCTCCCCGCGGCCGGGGGAGGGTCAGGTGGGCGTGCCCTGCGGGCCGCGCCCCCTTCCCCTCGGTGCTGTGCCCCTAACCATCCCCGGCGCCCAGACCGCTGCCGGGAGCCGCTGCCTCTCCCGTCTCCCGCCTCCCGTCGCCCGTCTCCCCCTCCCGTCTCCCCCTCCCGTCTCCCGTCTCCCCCTCCCGTCTCCCCCTCCCGTCTCTCGTCTCCCCCTCCCGTCTCCCCCTCCCGTCGCCCGTCTCCCCCTCCCGTCTCCCCCTCCCGTCTCCCGTTTCCCGTCTCCCGTCCCCAGCCCGCATCTCCGTGGTCCAGGGATGCGCGGAGCGAGCCCAGCTGCCAGGCCGCCGTCGCGCGCCTTGGTCCCCGCCGCGCTGTTCGCAGGGACGCGCGCGGGCTCTGAGCTGCGGGGCCGCCGGGACGTGCCTGGGGCGGGCTGCCCGGTGCTCGCCCCTTCGGTGGGGAGCAGCCCTTGTTACGGAACAGCCTTTGGCGACAGACCAGCCAGGATCCAAACGCGGACTCCGGCGGACAGGCTGGGCGCCCTTGGACGTTGCTCACCTGGGGCTCCCTGCGTGTGGCGTGGGGCCGAGGCCGGTTGTGGGAGAACTCACAGCAGTGACCGTCGCCACCACCGGAGATTCAGGGCCGAGCCCTGGGTGGCGTGGCTCAGTGGATAGAGCGGCCGCGGCCTGCGGACTGAACGGTCCCGGGTTCGAATCCAGGTCAGGGCACATGCCCGGTTGCAGGCTGGATCCCCAGGATGGGGCGTGCAGGGGGGTAGAGATCACTCTCTCTCATCATTGCTGTTTCTATCCCCCTCTCCCTTCCTCTGTGAGATCAATAAAAATATATTAAAAATAAAGTAAAATTCAGGTCAGAATTCAAGGTCATACTGGCTGCCCGGGTCTAGCCACTTAGACTGGTAGGTCCCCAACCAGTCATGAGGACCCGTGTCAGAACCAGAACCAGAACCAGAACCAGTCAAGGGGGTGTGATGGGTGGGACTTGGCCCCCAGCTCAGGGGCAGCCGGAAGCAGCACCGTAATGAGCATGAAGGAACAGAGGGGCCCTGGGCTGGGGTGGGGGCCTCTGTCACTGACTCAGAGTGGCTTCGGCCCACCCCCCCTTCACAGGGGCCTTCCTTCCAGGCCAGTGCTTGTTCGTGTGTTTTGTTTTTTCCAAAGAGCTAAAAATCTGAATTTCTATGTGAATGTTTCCACTTCAAGAAAGTTGGCCCATGTTTGTAAAACACCCTGTCAGCCAAACAAAACAACCAGCCATGGGCTCGGCCTCCAGCAGCGCCCGAGGCCGGAGGAGCCCGGGAGGCTGAGTTAGGTTACAGGGAAACTTGGCAGCCGGCTGAGGAGCGAAGATATCCCATCTTCCAGGCTCCTCTCCCAGCCGCCCCGCTGAGGCGGGCGTCCTTTCCTCCCCCTGAGGGTCTCCCTTCTGGCTTTTTAAAAAATAATTTTTATTTTATTCATTCATTTATTATATATATATTTTTTTATTTCAGAGCGGAGGGGAGAGGAGAGAAACATCAATGATGAGAGACTCACAGATCAGCTGCCTCCTGCACGCCCCACACTGGGGATGGAGCCCACAACCCGGGTGTGTGCCCTTGACCAGATCTGAACCGTGACCTCCTGGTTCATAGGTCGATGCTGAACCCCTGAGCCAGGCCGGCCGGCTCCCTTCTGGCTCTTAATGCGCAACCTGCTCAGCTCTAAGCTCAGCGTCACCCCCACGAAGACTCACCTAACTGTCCCCACAATGAGGGGCTGCAGCCCGGACAGCACCGGGCAGGTGTGTGCTGAGCCCAGGGTTTTGGGAGCCCTGAGCCTGGGTCCTGCCTCTGTCCCCTGCCCCCGCCCCACGTGGGACGGGCGTCTTGGCTGGGGCTGCAGGAATCCGGCCCCACAGCAGGGAGCTCTGGGAACGCAGGGGAGAGAGCAGGACTGGCTGCTCTTGTGTAACCCACACGAGTGTCAGTATCTGTTGCCAAACACGGAGGGAGAAGCCACCCCAGCTGGTCCTCCGGCCGTCCCAGCGCAGGCGGCGGAGTCCGAGGAGCCTCGGCCGGGACAGGATGCTCGGGCCGGCGGCCCTGGGAAGGTGAGGGGCCGGGCCAGGGACGCCCCGGGCGACAGGGAGGCTGCTTTTGAGAGAAAGCAAATGCTTGGAGGCCGCTTTGCTCGTGACTCCATATAACTCCGCGTTAGAGGGGAAGCCGGGAGCCTCGCAGGAGCCGCTGCTCCCACGGGCGGGGCGGGCACGTGGGTCTCCCTGCAGGTGCTTGCCGTTGGGGGAAGTTAACAGTAAACAGCTAATTCCCGGCCAAGGATATTCTCTAGAAGCGAGGCTTGGTTTCCGTGCCAGCGACTTGCTCACGGGAGAGCGGAGGGTCGGGCCGGACTGGGGGCAGGTGGGGGGCGGGGCGGGGTCTGTCCCAGCCCCGGGAGCCCTGAGCCGCGGGCCTGTCTGCCTGCAGGGTCTGGTGCTGCCTGCTCCTCGCGCTGGGCGCCCTGTGTCCTGGAGGCTCGCCGTGCGGCCTTTCGACCCACATAGAAATAGGTGAGTGCGGCAGGGCGGGTCGTGGTGCGGGGGACGCCGAGTGTGTCAGGGAGGTGGAGCGGCCGGCAGTCCGGCCCTGTGTGGGGGACGGTGTCCTGCTGTGCTGGCCGCCCACCGGGAGCCGAGAGGCCAGGGCCAAGGCCTCCAGGCTTGGGGGCTGTGGGTGGGCTTGGAGGAGAGCTAGGAAGCTAGGGGGTCTGGAGCTCCTGTCGGGGAGAGTGAGGCGCTGGGGGGACAGAGGCTCCAGGAGGGAGGGCGGGGGTGCAGTGCGGGGTGTGAGGAATGCTTCCCACGGGCAAGTCCACGGAAGGTACGTGTGCGGCCACGGGAGCGGGTCCCGGGGTCAGGTGGCTTTAAGGGGTCGGCTTCAGGCCCGGCCAGCGTGGCTCAGTGGTTGAACATCGACCTACGAACCAGGAGGTCACGGGTTCGATTCCCAGTCAGGAAACATGCCCGGGTTGAAGGCTCAATCCCCAGTAGGGGGCGTGCGGGAGGCAGCCAGTCAGTGACTCTCTCCTTGTTGACGTTTCTCTCTCTCCCTCTCCCTTCCTCTCTGAAATCAACTAAATATATATTTTTATATGAAAGCAGGAGGGAGTTGGCCTCCTTAATGAATCGTACAGTTCTAGGAAAGTGAAATTGCTCAAACTATGGAAGTGCGCCGACGAGGAGGAACCAACATCAATGGGAGTTTTCACGTTTTTAATCCTCAGAGCTCAGCAATTAGCAAGATGGATGAAATCCAAAATGCCAACAAAATCAGATCCTGGCTTGCCTTTCTCGAGCAGGTGCCAAGCAAAGGTCCTCACAGGGGAATACACGTTAACAACATGAGATAGGTTAAGTATGTATAAACATGTTCACGTGGACGTAACTGAAGGCAGCTCCTAGCCTGTGACGTTGAAGATGTTTTACGTAAGAGGAAGCTGTAACCTCACTTAGTGACTAGGGTGGAAGGTGTCATGAAGATGGCGGCTCACGTTCCCTCGCCTCACAGAGGGGCTGTGTGGAGGGCGGACATGGGTGTGAGTCAGTGCGTCAGAGTCCGCCTCTTCCAGGGGTCTGAGTCCGTAAATCGCAGAGTCCTGGTCCCGGCTGCCTGTGTGGGCTGTGCCCGGCCGAGTCTCTTACGGCACCGATGTCTACAGCAGTGGCTGTTTTCTTGTATGAATTTAAAAATTGGATGTGGCCCTGGCCAGTGTGGCTCAGTGGATAGAGCATCAGCCTGCAGACCAAAGGGTCCCGGGTTCGATTCCAGTCAAGGGCACCAACCTCAGTTGCAGGCTCCTCCCCAGCCTGGGCCCTGGTTGGGGCTCGTTCAGGAGGCAACCCATCGGTGTGTTTCTCTCACATCCATGTTTCTCTCTGTCTCTCCCTCCCTCTCCCACTCTCCCTAAAAATCAATGGAAAATTATCCTCGGGTGAGGATTAACAACAACAAAAAAGAAAAACTGGAGGTGATTCCCAATAGAAATGAGGCATGAATCACCCTCGAGCGTCTCTTCGGAGGAATGTTGACTCTAAGGAGGTCGGGTGTGGTGTCCCCTGTGGGCGTGTGGGTGGTGCAGGCGGCCTCTGAGACTGGTTGTCCGAGTAAAGTCGTCCCGCGATAAGGACACACCTGGGCTCCCTCCGGCTCAGCCCCGTGGGGCCGGCATCGCCTCTCCCGCTGGCTTATGCTCGGGGGTGTGGCGAGGTAGGTTCTGGGACGGGCTGACTTCTGTCTGCTGAGCTCCTGCCAGGTGCCAGCCACGCTCGTCGCAGCACTGGTTTCCTCTCGCTCTCTCCATGGGCTGCAGGTGGGCATCACTTGCTTTCACACAGGAGGGGCTGAGGCCTCGGCGGTTAGCTTAGCCCGGGGCGTGGAGTGGGTGAGCAGGAAACGTAAATCATCATGCAGACGTGGGGTACTGCCCTGGTATTTATATGAACTTATATTACATAAACAGTACATGGCTGTAACTATGGCTGCTGAAAATGACCAGTGAGAACAAACTTCATTTTCACTTCCCACTACCTTCACAGTTACAACCATCTCTCTCTATAAAAGCCTAAGTGACCGTCCGACCGTTCGACTGGTAGCTATGATGCGCACTGACCACCAGGGGGCAGACGCTCAACACACAGGCATGGACACATGGAACAGACTGATGAATCTGAGAGGGAAGCGGGGGAGGGCAGGAAGAGATTAACCAAAGATCTTATATGCATACTAGAGGCCCGGTGCATGGATTCGTGCACTGGTGGGGTCCCTCAGCCTGGCCTGTGGGGATTGGGCCAAAACCGGCAGTCCAACATCCTTCGAGGGGTCCCAGATTGCAAGAGGGTTCAGGCCAGGCCGAGGGACCCCACCAGTGCACGAATCTGTGCACTGGGCC